AATTTATTTTTAAATATAAAAGGAATATTAGCATATTTGACAATACTCTATCTGGTTTTAACAAAATGTTATCTGTGCAGTAGATAAATTATGAAGCTATGCATATGAAATGTTGATAGTGTATATATCAATGAAATATTTCAGCTTGATTTAAACTTCAAGGAACAATCAGCTTGTCTTTAAAATACACGTATGGCAGTGATACCTCCAGTTATGTTACAGGGGTGGATTGCTGTGCTTAACTTAAAAATAGTGGGAAAATATGGTGGTTTATTGTAACATTTTGTGGATTCATAGTTTTATGTGAGAAACGAAACTAATTCATAGTTTTACAGTGTATACAAGTACATACACACACACAAAAATTTTGAATTTCTGTAGGCATTCCTCATTCCTAGTGCTTTATCTTTCTGTAGATATCTGCAGAGCAATTGAGTTGCTGGAAAAATTACAGAGAAGTGGAGAAGTGCCGCCACAAAAGCTACAGGCTTTGCAAAGAGTCCTTCAAAGTGAATTCTGTAATGCTGTGAGGGAGGTAAGTTAACTTGACGTAAGCAGTTACCTTGAGTTAAAAAACAGTATGTTTTACTTTTTTTGTGTTCAGCACAATTATCTGATTTTGTTCTTTCTAAAAGCTGAATGTGACTTACAGAGCTTAATAGAACAAGTCTTATTTTTTAAAGTTCAAGAGAAGATAACTTGGGGTAGCATAGGCGTATTAAATAATGGCTCAAGAGCAAATCACTTTTTAGAGCTTGTTTTAAGAGTCTGTCCTTACTGGCAGCTAGCAGGCTGTTATCCTCTTGGAATGTGGGAATGAACAAAGTACAAATTGCCTCTGTTTCTTTTAAGCCAAATCCACGTCACCTTGCACATTACCTTGAGGTGGAGCCTTGCACCACCTCATCTTCATTCCAGATACTGTGTCAGAGATTTTTTTTGTGATTGAGTATGCCTTGCTATTACTGTTGGTGCTACCACTGATAATCACACCTGGAATAAACTAAAAGATCTGTTTGTAGACACAGGTGTCATCCTAAAGTTTTCATCCTATGGAGGACAGCGTGTTTATTGCTTAGCAAGTCCAAATGATTGGCAGGTAGATGTGAGGGTGTGGTTAACTCTCAGTGTAAGCATCTCCTTAGCATTAGTATTCTTACTGCCTTGGTGTTTTGATACCCTTTATTTCTGAAGTTATTCAATCAGTTGCATCCATTGAAGGAAAATAAGGGGCTTTGTGGGGAAGGCTGGGTTGTTGGGAAAGCTTTGAAGAACTGTCCTTAAGTGATTTTGCGTGCATCCTTATTGAGGAGTTCCAGCTTCAATCAAGAGAAAGTAGTCATCCATGTCTCTGGACTCACCGTAAGCATTTCTAAATTAATGATGAGATCTGAATGCTGTGGAAGGAGGGAAGATTTAGGTGAGACCTAGATATGCATGGATTAACTGAGCAATAAAGATGCTGAGGGAGTTGTTTCTTCATGGTACAGTAGATTGTCCCTAGATACCCTGTAGTGAAACAGAGAGCAACTTCCTATTAGAGATGTATGCTTTTAAATTTACGCATTTTTAAGTTGTACCTGGTATTTTGTTATATTATCTAAGCAGAAGAATATCTCTTTTCCCTGTACTTAAAACTTGTTTTCTCTCTAAAGGTTTATGAACACGTGTATGAAACTGTGGATATCAGCAGTAGCCCAGAAGTTAGAGCTAATGCAACAGCAAAGGTAAAAGCAGAACTGTAACTTGTGCAAAACACAGTAGTTTGTTACACTGGAAGCAGAGGAAGATTATTTAAAATTCAGAAGGATATTATCTAGATGTCTAATAAAATGGGTAAGCTTAATGAGTTATTAAAAGGTGTTACGGAAGACTTGTTATTTTTAAGTTTCTTCCGTTTTAATTTTATTCTTGGAGATCTAAATTTTTCATGCAAGTGTTGGTATCTAGGGAATTAATCTAATTTGTCTTAATATTTAAGTACTTTGGGATAAGAATACTTTTTCAGCCTGCTCACTATGTCTAGCTAAGGGTTCTATATTTAATTTCTTATAAATAGGAAAATCTTGTTTCTTACAGGCCACTGTAGCTGCATTTGCTGCTAGTGAAGGTCATTCCCATCCCAGAGTGGTTGAACTACCCAAAACTGAAGAAGGTCTTGGATTCAACATTATGGGAGGCAAAGAACAAAATTCTCCCATCTACATCTCACGGATTATCCCTGGCGGTATAGCTGATAGACATGGAGGCCTGAAACGTGGAGACCAGCTGCTTTCTGTAAACGGAGTGGTAGGAATTGGTTTTCACTTTTTGTAGCAGTAACTACTGGTTTCCACTTGAGGGCACACAGAGAATGTACATGACACAAACTCCAGGGTGTCTTTTAGTCTTGGCAAGACAGTGCATTGAGAGTTGTAGGATTATACTTTGATTATCTGCCCCAGCTGGGAACTGTGTTATTTATGCCCCTATTTCAGATTCTGAGTGGTTGTATAAATCTAGTCAAAGTATTATTTTGTGAACTAGTGTTAAACTGCCCTTACAGTTTCCTCTTTCATCAAAGTTTCATGATGCAGAGTTTATTTAATTACTATCATTTTCTGCACCTTCTAAGGTAACTAGTAAATTGTGCTATGCTGTGTTAGACTGACCAGATTCTCATTATCCCAATAAAAATGCTACTGCATAATGAAAGCTGTAATAAGCTGAAAGTGCAAGGAGGTGTTCTCTTCAGTTGTGAGATTTCTATTTTTTTCTTCAACTTAAGTTTACTGAGCTTCAAAAACAGAGGCTTTCTAGCATATTTTAAGGAGTGTATGTCTAAAGTGCTGTTGTGGATATTTATCTTTAATAAGTATCCTCTTCTGAAGAGTAACAGTACAAAAAGCAAAACACGGGGTGAAAGGAAAGAGGGTGCTATGGACAGGCTTTGAGTTAAGACAGCTGCTAGTCAAACGTGTGTAAATGTCCCTCAAACTCTTGCTTTTATTAACAGAGAAGCTGTATGCTAGTTTAAAATTAATGTTTTCATCATTACATCTGCAAATCCAGTTTTAAGACTGAATGTCAAACTAAATCGTGGTCTCTTTAACCCGAGTGGGTTTTTTTTGACACGTGAAAGGAGTAGAGCCTTACTGGGTGTCTGTACCCTGGGAAGTCCCTGCTAGCAGCAATCTCTGACTTACTTGGGTCCTGACTATGACCTGGGAGTCCAGCTGTCCTTTTCAGGAGATGTAAAGAGAAATCATGGCCATAGTGATGCAACTGTCCTTGGCCTAGCCTTCCTGGTATTTTGAAGCATTGAAGCACAGGTGTAAAACTGTCTTCAGATGAGGCCTTCCTCGCCCACAGACCTTCATAAAGAAAACAAAACCATCACTCCACCCCAAACGGAACCTGGACAGTCGGTACAGCTAACGACTGCCTGTGCGTGCTCATGTATAAATACATACAGCCATTGTAAGAACACAGTGAGCGAGTACATGAAATACTGTTGAGAATGCTAATGTCATCTCAGAAGAAGAATCTTCTGATGTTTGCAGAATGTCTTAATACATATGACAGGCATTTTCTTGTAATTTCTAATTTAATACTTCTTAAAAAAAAAAAAAAAAAAAAAAAAAGCTACTGCCAAGACTGCAGTGAATGTGCCCTGAAACAAGTTTAGGTTTTTTTTTCTGCTGTGAGATTTTGAGTCTACTCCAGAATTTTAGGTGATTTGATACAATTAAACTTTACAAACCTCTTATTACCAGTTTTAAACAGAATAGCCTACACATCCACTTGAATAACAAAAATTAAAGCATTCAGATGTATGTGTTGTCTAAGTCTGATAGAAGAGAAATAACTTGGGTTTTTTTAACTGTTGTCTTTCTTTCTGTAAGTAACTTTATAGTAACGGGGAAACCCTCCAATCAACAGGTACATCACTTGCCTTCTAGCTTCTAATAGCACCAGTGGGAGGTAGGCTTGGGGTAGTCCCATCATTGTGTTTAATAAGTTTGGGAGAAATAAGTTTTGCTGATAAAATGTATGCTGTCTAGGAATGTGTATTTGGATGCAGTTGTTGAGAGTTGTTGCTTAAAATTTGTAATTAGATGAATCTAATATAGCCCTATTGAATTCTGAGAGTTGTTTCAGGAAAGTATTTTTATTCTGTTCTTACTGAGTTGGTTTAGGCTCTTCTTAATTAGTGTAGAGGAAGTGAACTTGAATACCTTGTATTTACTGAGAGACATGTGGGGCACTATGAGAAGCAACACCCTGCACGTTAGCTGCTGCATTGCAGGTGCCCAGCACGCGCTTGCCGTGACACAGGATAACATCAAGAAGGCAGCTCTCCTGCAGTCGTCTGTGGAAACTTATTAGGCAAATTGAGGACGACTACTGACTTTGAAATGCATGCCACAAGAAGAAAAACAGTCTTGAATTTTAAATGTGTCCTCCTGAAGTTGTTGATTTTTAAGTGTAATTTCATAATTGCTTAACATTATCCTTATTTCACTTACTGTACGTACATAGAGAGTTTAATTGTTCAGAATAAACCTAACCAAAGGTTTTGCACTACTCTTTTGTTAATACTAATTAGTATATTTATGATCGTGTCTTACTGATTTACTGAAGAATAAATCCTGACCTTAGGTGACATTGTCCTTGTGCAAGTCTTCAGACTAGAATACTTCAATATTTGATTATATAGAAGGTGTACAAAAAATGAAAAAAATCTGTTTTCAGTGTGTGTCTTTACTAATATTACACTTCATGGTTTATTCTTTGCAGAGTGTCGAAGGGGAACACCATGAAAAAGCAGTAGAACTGCTGAAGGCAGCTCAAGGAAAGGTTAAATTAGTTGTGCGATACACACCAAAGGTCCTCGAGGAAATGGAGTCGAGATTTGAAAAAATGAGATCAGCGAAACGCAGGCAGCAAAATTAACATTGTATGCAATAACTTAAAATATACTCTATTTACATCTTATAGTTTGCTTTGTGACTCAGTCGATCCAATACCTGGGCTACAGAAGACACTGTCCTTTTCGTTGATTTACGGAATGATTGAGCTTGAAAGGCCTCCTGGAGGTCATCTAGTCCAACCCCCCAGCTCAGAGGAGGGTTAGCTAGAGCAGGTTGCTCAGGACAGTGACAAGCTGGATTTTAGAGCATCTCCAAGGATGGAGACTCCAGAAGATCTCTGGGCAACCTGTTCTAGTGTTTTGATTTCCCTCGTGCTACGAAGGTTCGTTCTTATATTTAAATGGAGCTTCCTGTATTTCCCTTTGTGCCCATTGCCTTTTGTCCAGTCACTGGATGCTACTGAGAAGAATCTGGCCCTTTTTTTTTGTTTGTTTTTTGTTTAATATTCCCTACCAGACATTTGCACACATTAGTAAAACCACCCCTCAGCCTTCTCTTTTCCAGGCTAGACAATCTCTATTCTCTCAGTCTCTCCTTGTCTGTCAGGTGCTCCAGTTACTTAATCACCTTTGTTGCCCTTCACTGGACTCTGTTTTTTATGCCCATGTCTGTATTGAACTGGGGAGCCCAAAACTGCACCCAACACTTGAATTTTGTCTCACCAGGACTGAACAGAGGGAAAGAATCGCTTCCCTCAATTTGCTGGCAATGCTCTTCCAAATGCTGACCAAGAGGCTCCCGGGCTGCTTTGCTGTGAGGGCACATCAGTGGCTCACAGTCAGGTTGGTGGTGGTGTCTGCAGGGCTGCTTTGGTCTACAGCCTGGACAACAAGTCTGTACTGGTGCGTGGGGTTATTCCTCCCCAGGTGTAGGACTTTGCACTTTCCTTTTGCTGAACTTTGACATTCTTGTTTGCTCATTTCTCCAGCCTGCTGAGGTCCCTCTGAATGGCTCACTGAGAGTGTGCTCTGTCCTGTCACCCATGTTATTAATGAAAATGTTAACCAGTATGGAACCCCAGTACAGACCCCTGGGCTGCATCAGTAGTGACTGGCATCCAGCAGGACTTTGTGCCACTGATCACAGCAACCCTTGACAGTTCAGCTGTTTTTAGAATGTTTTCAGTCTCCATGTGTTTCACAGTTCAAGAGGAATCTGTACTTGTAAAATGCCCTAAAATACCCTGAAAAAAGCATATATGTTGATATTTCTGGGTTTTGTTTGGTTTTTTTTCAGTGAGTCTTTTTCATGTCAGACCTTTAAGCATGAAAGTGAATTTACAGATTTTTCAAAGGCATTTAATAAGACATATTTCTACATTTAGTATCCCTTTTTTATTGTTTTCTTTTGGCATTACTTAACATAGAATCTGTAGGGTTTTTTGCTGAATGATTTTGAAAAAAGAAAAAAAGTTTCTTATGTAGCAGTATTCTGGCACTTTTCTTAAGAATATGTTGTATATCAACTACAAAACCGAATTGTGATCTACTGTGTAGCTGATAATAATACCAGATTTTGTAATGTTTTGGCGAGTACATTATTTTTTACACTTCTGCTAAATCGTAATTCGTTACTCTGGAAATTGTATTACCTCACCTGTAAATAATTTACAGTTGTTCTCATGTAATGATTTTGTAACAGCTGACTTTTACAAATTTGCAACAGTCATTCCTGTAACTTCTATTATTTTGTACTAATTTTAAAGCAGTAAGGGGAAAAATGTAATTGTGTATGCAGTTCTGGATTGACTCCCTAGATGTATTTTTATATTCAGAAACAGAAGATATATTAATGCAGTGCAGAAGAATTCCACATGTTTCCCTGACTTTCTGCTGCTTAAAAGAAATATTCATCTTACTTGTCATACTTCTCTTGTGGTTTTTAGTATGTGCTATTGTAGTCTTATCTACAGACTGACTGTATTGGTCTTGGAATAGTTAGTACCTAAATTATTGATTATGACATTTATGAGAGTAAAATGTTTTGAGGTTTATATGCCAGATTACCCTGACATGTGAACTTGTCTGGGGTTTTATTACTGACTTAAGACTTGGAGGGTTCTTGTTTGTACTGCAGAAGTACTAGATCACCATTGCTATAAAACTTTATGTGGAATGGTGCTGTGGTGGTCATTAGGAAATCTCCAGATAGAAGAGATTAATGTCTTATCTCAAGTGTAGTTGATGGTGGCACATTTTTTGTGTGCTGTTTTGAAGAAACTTTTTCTGGACATAGGTCCTCTTCTTGGAATCTACCAGGTTTGAAGCTATTCTTGGGTAGTTTAAGTTTTGGGTTGGGTGTTTTTTGTTGTTTTGGGGTTTTTTTGTTTTGTTTTGTTTTTTTAAAGCTTCACCTTTTGTTATAGATCTAGAGTTAACTTAATTGTCTGCTGGGTATCTGTTCACTTGTATGGCAGCTATGAGTGCATCTTAATTGACTGTTAGTAATTTGATTCTTAGAGGCTCAAACTGAAAAGTGCAGTTCTTAGGATGTGGCTAATCCTAGTCTTTTCACATGGAGCAGTATGATCCATTGTGAAATAATTCAGTACGTGAAAGAAAGGAAAAGATTTAGTGATCTAAATATGACAGCATGAAGTTTGTGCTTTGTCAGTTGATCTATTAGAAAAGAAAAAAAAATGATTGCTACAGGCAAGTGAGAAATGTGATCGCTTTCTGCATGTTTGTAAGCATGGTAAAGAGAAATTTGGGGGTTAAAAATACTGATGGTTTGAAAATGCAGTATCAATATTTATCGGTTAGATGACATTGAGCACTGAATTGTGTGGTTGATTATCTGTCATAGGCCTCTTTCAAGAGGTCTCATGGTACCGGTACAACCATGTTGTTGAATTGTATATTTTTATGGAACAACTAATGTTTAAAGTATTGCGACCAAAATCACTAGTTAGACCAATTGTGGATGTGTTAATTTAATTGTAAAATAGTAGAGATTTGCTTTAGAGCTCTATATAAATATATTAAAGAATGGAATGGATACAAGATAGAAATGTGCATTTTAAAACCTTTATCCCTTGTCTTACTGAACAAAGAGGTATGTTTTGTTACTCTAAGGAAATACTTACTTTAGCAGCTCTAGCTGCACTAAATGCAGTAGCATTTTCATTCTGAATTGTAGCATTTGGATACAGTTTGTCAGTTACAACAATGTGAGGAGATGTATCTGGGCATATAAATTGTACATGTAGAGTTTAATGAAAAGTTTTTGAATTGCAACAACAACAATAAACAGACAACTCATTAACAGTCATCTTTAATACTATGAAAACCCTCTAGTAATATTAAGGAAAGGATGGATTAAAATATGCCAAGAAACTTGATCTCTGTTACTACTGAGCAGTGCCTGTACTGTGTTAATATGCAGTCCCTACACACTTGGCATACTTGGGTATGCACACAGATTAAGAAGAGGTATCATTTCTGCAGATAACTTCTGCATCTATTGCTGCTGTGAGGGATCTTTGGGTTTTATCAACAGAAAAATAAAAGTTAAATTTCATGTGCATTGTGTTTGTGTGTTTTTCTTCTGATTTTCTGTTTTGAGTACTGTTTTCAGACTGCTGTAATTGGGTGTTTATAATCTCTAGGGCATAACATAAACACCTTGTGTGTGTGGGCATCCAGAGAGGAAAACTTTAAAGTCTCTTGTTAGTTTGTTCTCCTGATTGCTTATGGATCTTCCCTTTTCTACCCCAATGTTTTGTGATTTGTTGGAGAAGAAAATCAGAATGCTATAAAGTATCTATAATACCTCGAACCTTCTGGATTGACCTCCTGCATTTTTGAGACCTCTCTACTCTCAGCTCCATAAACTTCCATGATGCATATTATTCCAAGTCAGATGTTATCTTTTAATTGTTTGAAGCAAGTATCTCAAGTAATGAGATGTTGAATTTCTGTAATTCCTTGTTTAAAGAACTTGTAGGCTTGTCAGCTCCTCAGAAAAATGTGCCTGGAGTTATGAACTGAGATGAAGGTAGGAGAAAATGTTTCAGTTCTGAATGTAAAAAGACTTTTTTTTTTACACAGAGGTAGGCTGGACTGCAAATTGAAAATATATGCAAAAATATATTTGATATAGAGGACTGATAACACCTGAGCTGGAAATAAAAACCCATTTTCAGTTTTATTTTAAAATCAAAGTAATTTCCATGATGTGGCTTACGCAGTGGCTGTTTATAAACTGAATTTCAACGTAAGGCTTGTAACACTGAACCAAAGACTGACCGAAGTTAATGTGATTTCATAACCTAAAAACCCCAGTAATTTATCTGCCTCATGTTTTCATTGCAGTTACAGGCTTGACGGATTTTAAAACAAAAAGGTGATGGAACTAACTTTGTTTCTGATTTCCAATTTCAACTGTGATCTAGCAGTCAATATCCAAACAAGCTGGAAAAAGTACTTTGTCCAAGCTGATATCCCACCTTAGGCATGCATAGTCTGAGAGAACTGAACTTACTCAGAAACTAAAAGAAGCAACTTCAGTGTTTCACTGCAAAATTATTTTCCTGTCTTCTGATCATTTCTTCTGGAGGCTGATGCTGGATGCAAAAAAAATGTGTTTCTATCTTAATTTAAAAGCAAAAAAGCTAATTTGAAAAAGCAAAGTTTCTCTGTATCTGCAGCTGCCTTCGTTTGGTATAAACTGATGAAACGTGGTGCTCCTGTCACCATCTTGTCCTCATTTATGAGGCACTTGCATGTGCTGGCATCCACTGGTGTTTGATCATGGATGGAGTTCAGTAAGCTGGCAGAAACCAATACGGGTCAGGTTTTTGGAGTCTATTTTCATTTAATTAAGTGAACTCAAAAAGCGAAGTGCATGGTGAAAGGAAATGCCTTGGTGCAAGGAAAGGGTGAGAGCATGGTAGGCAGACGAACTAATTGGCATTGTGGAATCCCAAGATAGGGAGCAGTCTGGGTTTCTGTGATCCTTTGTCTTGTAAAATCCTGATTAGAAGCTGGTGTTTGAGAAGAGCCTGAGTTGCAGTGCTCTCTTTTATAGGGAAGTTGTCCTTTGCCTGGAGGGTCTGAGGCCAAGGCAGCACACTCAACAAAAGGCGTTTGAAATTCAGCGGTGTGCCTCAGGATAAAATTGGTAGCTAGTTTTAATCGTAAAAAAAACAAACCAAAAAAACTGCAACTAAAGTTCCAGGGAAGCCTTTTAAAATTAAGTTAACACTGAATTTGAGTTTTGATGTGCTGCTATTTCTTGTTGTTTTAGAGACACATCTTGGGTCTAGAGTGACTACATCTTGAAAAGTGAAACGAACTCTGCATCCCTCACCTTTGTT